TTACACACTGGACCTTTAACAGATCGGATGACGAATCATGTTTGTGCACAGTGCTGACTTCTCTTTTCTAACCACATGGGATCAGTGACTTCCCATTACAAAGCTACTTATTCTTAACAATCGTACTTACTTTCATCATCGCTGTCTGCAGAATCATGCTGCAAAACAAAACCAAAAATATAAAAAACTGTTTCTCCTTCACTGCTTTACCTGGTAAATTTCACAAACACCTGCCTCTGTAATAAATGACATGAAGCACATTAAAAAAAAAGTATTTTATTTATTAAAAAAAACATACCTCTTCATCTGCACCATCGGGTAGATCATCCCCTCCCATGCTGTTCATCATCTGTAGAAATGCACAGGAGACAACAATCAACACTACAGTGAAGCTGGATATTCTCACACTGCTGCTGTGCAGGTTCAACATGCTTACCTCTGAGAATTTGTCGAAACTTGACAAGTCCTCATCTGAGTCATCTTCCCAGTCTTTCCAATTATTGAAATCCACACTCAGCCAGTTGTTCTAAGCGAAGACAGATTCAAGTGTTTAAGTAAGGCGATATTTAACATGTTCGTTTACTCCAGCTGCTTTTTCAATGTTGATATTTACTCATTTTCCAGATTGATGGCAATTAAATGAGCTGGTTTCCAACACACCTGTACCTAAACTTCCAGGTGACTCATGTTTGGACTGAGAGGCTGTTTTAAAGAATCAAAGTTACCTTTGTCTTGTCTTTGGTAAGTCGGGGCCATGATTTCCCAGCCTCTGCTTTTCGTAAACAACACAACACAGACCTGTCAGTGCGTCTGTGTTTGGATCCCTGCATGGAACATAGTGTTTGATGAAGCCTTTGAAGGAATTTAACCACATGGCAGAACTGCAACTATGTCTACAGGTGACACACATACTTTGGGGTCAATCTCTCCAAACAGGTCCACTGTATTCTGGTGTTTCATATTATCTGTTCCACTGACACAACTGTAAGCGGAAAAGAAGAGATGTTATATTTCCTTCACACCTGCCAACAAAAACTGAAAACCAAGAACTTAAGATGATTTGCTGATTGTAGAAAATGGGGTCTTGGTCATTTAGCAGTAAGGACATTAAAAATCTCAGGAATATTATCATTTCACATGAATACAACTTACCTGAATTCAAATTTGGACTTGTCAAATTTTACTTGCACATCTTTACTGTCCTCCACGCAGAAGTCCACAAACACAGAGTCCCGTCTGTCATACCACTTAGCTGTTGCAGGCTGCCTAATGACAAAAACCAGAACAAAGTAATAAGTAAAAATCCAACTCAGTCCACAATTCACTGTCATCTGACATTAATCAAGCGTTATATTAGTGAGACATGTCACTGTCAGGGTGGTTATTTGCTCTGGCAGCCCACGTGTATATATGGTGCAGTACATTTGAGGTCACATTTATCTCATGCTGAGGAAAGCTTCATTCATTCACTGCAGATCAGCATGAAGTGTCCTCTTCACCTAAAAGCAACAACTCATCTCCATGTCATGAAAAACGGTGCAGCTGCTAACATTATATTACAGATAATACACATATTAGAGCATCAATTAGACTGTCATACTAAGGAGGAGTCTGACAATGTTATATTAGGTTATATTAACAGTAAGCTGTACGGTTATCCGGATGAGGAGGAAGGAGGAAATATACTGGACTGGATTTGGGGCAGTTCGTGTTGCATGTATCTCTGTCAAACCTGTGTCAAGTTGGCGACAGCTAACGTTAGCTAAATGAGATCTTCCGAGCTAATCATGACACCATGCTTTTTCAGTTGCCGTTAATGTTGGTTGACATTAGCCTGCTAGCTAGCGACCACTGAACCGATATGAGGCGTGCACACAAAATTAATTAGCTCGGAGTTTATCAGTTCATGGGACACGCTGGTGCCAAATTACATTCCGCTGAAGGACAGTTAGGTGTCGGTGGATTTCACGAGGTGCTGTGCCTTTTAGTCTTGACAGCCGCGTAAGTAACGTTATGACTGCACCGCTGAAGCTAACGCGTGTGCTTAGCTCAGCTAGCTAGTGTTAGCTGGTTGATCCGCAGTACAACACACCGCCAAGACTTGTAAGTTAGCTACGACCGTTAACAACTACACAATAAACCCAAGACTTACATCTCTACCGTTTTTAGCAATTAAACTCCCTCGTCGGACCACTATATAGATTATAGTGTTACCTAGCTGCAGTGGCCGGCAAAAAAAAGGACAGAAACCCTAAACGGTTAAAACAGTTAAATCAGTTAACTCTAACGTTTTCGAACACACACACTACTGTCTCCCCCAAAACATCGCGTGTTTTCCCCGTTCTCTCGTGACGTATCGCCAACCGCCCGTCACGAGCGTGAGCACGGGGTGCTTAGCGGAGCGGAGCGGAGCGGTTGGGAGACCGTTCTAGAACGAGCGCGCCCAGTGTTCCAGAACGGCGCAAGAGCTCCACCAGCAGTGTAGCTCCGTAATGGACGCTCACGCTGCCTGCTGATAGCAGAACGTAAGTGACCACCTGGAGTATTCAGAGCCCTGACTTAGGTTAAGTAGCAATACCACACTGCAAAATACTCCAAGCCCAAGTCTCGCATTGAAAATGTAATAAAGTATTTAACTCGCCAGCAAAAAAAGCAAATTAAAGTACTCAATGCAAAACAATTGTCCTTGTGTGAGGTATATTATTACATATGAGTGACAAGTAAATAGTAGAATATTTTCCTCTAAATTTAAAGTGGCATTAAATGGAGATGGAAGTGGGTCTACCTGAAATTAAACATAAAGCTGTGGATTTTCACCTGATGGCCCCATAGACTTTCCTGCACTATTACACACACACACATTAATTTTCTTTATATTAATGACATAGTAGGACCCAAACATTCAGATTTAGTTGCCTATTAAGCCAATTGGCCCAGCCACCATATAGATACCCACTGCCGGGCCTAGTGAGAGGTCAAAACACCATTTAATGTGAATACTGTAACAAGCACTGAAAAAGTGAAAAGCATACATCATCAGTTGTTGAACCAACTGAGACCCTGGAGACAATTAGCTTCAACAAGATAACATTTAAAGTCCACGTAAAGTAAATTAAGTAATTTTCTCTCTAACACATTATATGTCATAAAATATTTATAGTAAATAGTAATAGTAATAGAACTAGTGTACATTTTATCACTATTATTTAAGATTTACTTGTGTCACAAATATATGTTTTGTATTTACCCAAAATATAATTCAGAACAACATAAGACCTTTTGATCCAAAGCGGAGAAACTCACAAAAACATCTTGAAGGAAACTTATTATTTCAAGCTCAAAAGAGAAGCACAAAATACATTTACTATGCTTTGGGCATTTGCAACAGCAGTTAATGATGCAATGAAGTTAATATGGGCTTTGTATCAAGAGTAGCATGCTAATGTTGCAGGCCATCGCTTTGCACACACAGCCAGAGGTTCACAAGCTGCAGCTAGACAGGTAGCATGCACTACAGTTTTTCTTGCAGGTGGTGCATGTACAGGATTCAAGTCTTTAAGCCATCACAATGGTCCATTTTTAAATTGGTGTTGTCATACTATACCCTGGCCTCATCGTCAGAGGCTGAAGATGATGTTTCCCTTAGTCAAGTCAGTGTTGAGAATATGAACAGGTTATTACAACAGGTTATTAATGACATGTGCTCCCTGTATTTCCATGCAAAACAGGCACAATATGAAAGATATATGTATTTTTTATCCATCTTCTTAACCACTGCCTCCAACAAGGAATCTTAGTGAGAAAAACTAGGGGAAGTAGAAACAGGTAATGAAGAAATCCATTACAATGTAAGACAAGCAAGAATAAGGAGAACATAAATGAGACAACGGGTTTACTCATGACTTGAAGGTAAAAAAAAAAATTACTTTGACAGGATCATGAGCACAGCAGATAACTGAGGGCATTCCTGCATTTGGAGATGATGAAAAAGACATGAGACTCTGGCTTGTGGTTATTTTCTCAATAAAGATGAGCACAGACGTAGTGGTGGAAGCCAAAGCATCTCCCTTCACAGCTTGCTTCTCAGTCGGCTTAATAACAGATGCCTCTTTAGCATTGCTCTCAGCCACAATATCAGAGTGAAGCTCACCTTTGTCAGTTCAGGTCCCCATAGGATTGGATGCCGTCAGATGCACCTGCTCCCGGGGATCTTTGACTTCCAATGTTTTTTCTTAGTGGGCCAAATGACTCAAGCAGAAGAATATGACATGGAAACTGACAGATGACTTTCAAAGTAAAGGTGGGAAGCTCTAGCTACTGTCACTTTGGGAGCAGCTTCAAGCAGTTGGACTTGGACAAGAGAGGAGCTATGGAGAGAGAGAGGAGGTATAAGGCTTGGCAGTTGTCGATAGAGCACATGTAACAATAGCGCCATAGCATAGAAGGAGAGCGTCGGCATCAAATGAGAGGGAAATGTTCACGGATGATAACACGGATAGAAAAACAGTTCCAGGAAGCTTCTGAGTGTGTAGAACATGACTGGAAAATGTCGGAGAGAATGGGGTGAAAATGTTTGAATGAAAAGAGCCTGGTGCAGATAAAGGGTTTAGATAGGTTTAAGTTACTGGTGACAAATAATCATACTTTCTCTCCAACTTTTACCACTTTGTACCAGACATGTGCACCAGAAGTGGAGCCAAAACAGTGGCAGGCCTTATACGGGACCCAAGGAGGGAGGAAAGACACTTTGGAGATAACAAGCAGGAGATAGTTGACAGATGGGAGTTTTTGTTGGCCACAGAAAGGCCTGGACACAGTTTAACTGCTCAGTCTCAATTTTAGCCCATTTTAAAAGAAGGGGACATAAATTCCAGACAAGAGCAATAGACAAGATTTAAAGTTGATAGGCCTGAGCATTACTTGTAGGATCATATTATAAGAATTGTCTACAGCAAGGTATGTGGATTTATTAAATTCCCTTATATTTAGTCAGTTATGGATATTATAAAAGGTCTATAAAGCAAACCAAACTAGCAGCATCAATCTCTAACTCAATTGGTTTCTTTCAGTAATCCAACCAAATTAAAAGCATGTACATTATCTACCTTCTAATGCTACTGGATTAAATTGTTTTTAAAGCCACTGAAGACAGTAGCAGCTTTGCAATTAACTAGTCTCATGAATAGTCATCATTAAAGAAAAGAAAGATACCAGTGAAATCTGAATTACCTCTAGGAGCTTTCTGCAGCTGCAATGTGGTTTGAATGGGTAATTAACAATAGCTTGCTGTGTTCTGGCAGATAATAAGCCATAATTTGGATACATTATTGTGGTCTTAAAACCTGATTTCCTTCTTTATTGTGGTCCAGTTGATAAAAGTTTGCCTACTGGCCTGATTGTAATGATGCCATGCTATTTATAGAGTTTGTCAAGCATACTCTTGAAATAAACTGATTTCACATTGTACATAAGTCTTCATAGCAGATAGTGTGAGGGCTTTGTTCACATGCTCATACTGGTTGTAAGGTGTAATCTGAAATATATACAATTTCCTCCTCGGAACAAGAGAGTATCACAAACTTTATAACAAATCACTAATGTACTAATTATGAAATTACAAATTATTTGATGATTTATAGTCATAATTTTAGCATCTTTTAATAAAAGAGGAGGGTAAAAAAACAGAAAATCCACTTTAACATAGAATTTATATTATCTCTATAATACTTATACTTAACCTTTGCTTTTCCTTTAAATAGCAACGAGACTTGACTGAGATGATGTCAGCCAGACACAAATCCTTGAACTGCTCCATATACTATGACTAATGGGACAACACTTTGGACACTATAAGCACAGCAGGTGGGGGATATATGACTTCATTTTCTGATTCACAGCTGGATGACCTACACTCATTTTACGGAAATCTTAACCGAAATCAACGAGCCTACAGGTGATTACGAAATGACTCAAACACGTCAGCAGCTTTAATGTAATGTTTGTACCACGATGAGAAAGACCATCAGATATTAGATATCTGCAGAGGTTTGCTGAGGAAGTTTAGCTAAATGCCAGGTTGTGATTAAATTTAGATAAAAAACCCAATATAATCACAGTATGAAATGTGTTTTTGGCAAATGCTGTGAAATATATTGTGTGATGCAGCTGTTCTAAGCTCCTCAAGCAGGGTGATCCAAAGTCTGGGCCAACTGTCACATCATCAAATCCTCTAACCAAAAACCAAAATAGTTCAGGGAAATTAAATTAAATTGTGGTTTTAGTGAAAACCTTTCTGGTAAATTTTGCACTAGCTGCAGACTGGAGAGGCTTTACAACTTTTCTGATGCCCTCGTGTCAGCAATGCTTTTTAATTGGAAGGAAGGGGGGAAACGGGTCAACCCTTTTCACTTCTTCAGATTAAAACCTAAAACACAAAAGAATCCCAAGAAAAGCCACAGATTACAGGCTTAATAATGGTTGAAAGGCACGATTACAGAAGTTGAAATGAACCAGGCTTCGGAAATTCTTATTATCATTAATTTGTAGATATTGAAGACACATTGTCACTTAGACCACCTCCTGTCGTATGAGGTCACTTTGATACAACAACTTGTGTTTGAGTGAAACTACAGCCTGAAACTAAGTGAGTGGACAGTAGTGACTGACTTAAGGATCTGTGCAATGCTGCTTTTCCTGTCTTACTGGAGAAATAATGTTCTTAATTGGAAGGAAACTTGTGAATGCAAGTCTGTCTCTCAGTCATTAGATTTTAGAGCCGAGAGCACCAAAACAACACCTCTGATGGCAAAACACTGCAATTTATTGAGTGCCAATATGTTGGTTACAGCATCTCAAATGTGTTAATATCCTTTTATCTGTGCTTTTTAGATTTTATGATTGTTGATCAAACAAAACAGACTTGAAAATAAATTAAAATAATCTTTACAGTCAGCTTTAAATAAGGAGTAATGATAGATAGATAGATAGA